TCTCCACTCTCCTGCGCGCGCTCCCCACACTCGCCTGCCCACCTAGCCTTGTCGTATATCGTGCGCTGCCCGCCTCGATCGCCCACTCGCCTGCCCACCTAGCTTGTCGTATATCGTACCTGCTCTCCTCGGTCGCCCCACACTCGCCTGCCACCTAGCTTGTCGCTATATCGTGCCTGCCTGCCTCGTCGCCACACTCGCTGCCCCACCTAGCTTGTCGTATATCGTAGCTGCCTGCTCCTCGTCGCCCACACTCGCCTGCCCACTAGCTTGTCGTATATCGTGCCTGCCTGCCTCGTTGCCCACACTCGCCTGCACCTAGCTTGTCGTATATCGCTGCCTGCCTGCCTCGTCGCCCACACTCGCCTGCCCACCTAGCTTGTCGTATATCGTGCCTGCACTGCCTCGTCGTGCCCCACACTCCTGCCTGCCCACCTAGCTTGTCGTATATCGGCCTGCCTGCCAGCGCTTCCCCCACACTCGCCTGCCCACCTAGCTGTCGTATATCGTGCCTGCCTGCCGCCTTCGTCGCCCACACTCGCCTGCCCACCTAGCTTGTCGTATATCGTGCCTGCCTGCCTGCCTCGTCACCCCACACTCGCCTGCCCACCTAGCTTGTCGTATATCGTGCCTGCCTGCCTCGTCGCCCACACTCGCCTGCCCACCTAGCTTGTCGTATATCGTACCTGCCTGCCTCGTCGCCCACACTCGCCTGCCCACCTAGCTTGTCGTATATCGTACCTGCCTGCCTCGTCGCCCCACACTCGCCTGCCCACTAGCTTCGTATATCGTACCTGCTCTGCCCGCCTCGTCGCCCACACTCGCCTGCCCACCTAGCTTTGTCGTATATTCTGTGCCTGCCTTGTCTCCTCGTCGATCCCCAACTCGCCCTGCCACTAGATTGTCGTATATCGTACCTGCCTTGCCTGCCTCGTCGCCCCACACTCGCCTGCCACACCTGGCTTGCGTATATCGTACCTGCCTGACCTCGTCACCACACTTCGCCTGCCCACCTACGCTTGTCACGTTATATGCGTACCTTGCCTGCCTCGTCACCCACACTCGCCTGGCCCACTAGCTTGCGTGATATCGTACCTGCCTCCTCGTCGCCCCACACTCGCCTGCCCACTAGCGTTGTCGTATATCGTGCGTGCCTGCCTGTCGTCGCCCCACACTCGCCTGCCCCACCTAGCTTGTCGTTATCGTGGCGACCTGCTCCGTCACCCCACACTGCGCACTGCCCACCTAGCTTGTGTCTATCGTACCTACCTGCCTGCCCTCGTCCACCCCAACCACTCGCCTGCCCCAGCCTAGCTTGTCGTATATCGTCACCTGCCTGCTGCCTCGTCGCCCCACACTCGCCTGCCCACTAGCTTGTCGCATAGTTCGTGCCTGTCAGCCTCGTCACCCCACACTCGCCTGCCCCACTTTAGCTTGTCCGTATATCATCCCTTGCCTGCTTTCGTCACCCCACACTCGCGCCTGCCACCTAGCCTTGTCGATATATCGCTGCCTGCCTGCCTCCGTCACCCCACACTCGCCACTGCCCACCTAGCTTGTCGTATATCGTGCCTGCCCGCCTGCCTCGTCACCCCACACTCGCCTGCCCACCTAGCTTGTCTGTATTATCATCCCTGCCGCTGCCTCGTCGCCCCACACTCGCCTCCCACCTAGCTTGTCGTATATCGTGCCTGCCGCCTGCCTAGTCACCCACACTCGGTCTGCCCAGCCTAGCGTGTCGTAATATCGTGCCTGCCTGCCTCGTCCACCCCCACACTACGCCTGCCCACCTAGCCTTGTCGTATATCCGTACCTGCCTGCCTCGTCACCCCACCACTCGCCTGCCCCATCTAGCTTGTCGGTATATCGTGCCTGCCTGTGCCTCATCACCCCACACTCGCCTGCCACCTAAGCTTTGTCGTATATCGTGCCCTTGCTCGCCTGCCGCCTCGTCACCCACACTCGCCTGCCCACCTAGCTTGTAGTATACGATCGTACCTGCCCTGCCTGCCTTCGTCGCCCCACACTCGTCTATTGCCACTAGCTTGTCGTAATATCGTGCCCTGCTCTGCCTCGTCACCCACACCTCGCCTGCCCAACTAGCTTGTCGTAATCTGCCTGCCTTGCTCGTCACCCACACTCGCTGCCACCTAGCTTCGTCGTATATCGTGCCTGCCTGCCTCGTCACCCCACACTCGCCTGCCCATCCATAGCTTGTCGATATCGTACCCTGGCCTGGCCTGCGTCACCCCACACTCGCCTGCCCACCTAGCTTGTCGTATATCGTGGCTGAATGCCTGCCTCGTCACCTACCTGCCTGCCTCGTCGCCCCACACTCGTCTGCCCACCTAGCTTGTTGTATATCGTGGCTGCCCGCCCCCTTAGGCTCACCCGGTAGCACGCCACCTGTTGTCGGTCGGTGTTGGTGCTCGTATAGTGTTTTTTGCATAGACTTGCTTACTGTAGTTTCGTGGGTTCTTGAAGGTTTTTTACTCGTTTTTGTGGTTTTTATTGCGATGTTCGCTAGGATGGCCGTGTGGTGAGGAGGGTGTCAGTTAGTACGTGGCTATATATGCTTTTACTGACTGACAACAGTTGCGCTCTTCGAACGTTATGGCTTTCCCGTTTCCTGTTCGTCAATGGAGAACTAGGTTAATAGCTGTTATCTTCAATTATGGGAGGTTTCACACCCAATTTGAATATTTGTAAGTGACACTTAGTGTACGCCTCTTCTATAGTTGTGGATGCTCTTCCTACACAATTCTCTGCTGGGACATGGCTTTGTGCCTTTGCAGCCCATGTATCACTCGTCTCTAAATGTCTTTATATTGCAATGTCGCGGCTTTGTTTCGTCTGCATATAGCCGTGTAACACGCCACGCTTACCCGCATTATAAAATCATATTGTATACTATTGGTTGTAGCAGGTGCTGTTGTGTCATATAATTAGCACTAAAAGAGTGATTTCACAGAAATTTACATAATAAGCAAAATTTACAAATCAGTAAACTGTTATGTGTGTGCATGTATATATATATATATATATATATATTATACATATATATATATATATATATATATATATAACGACTGAGGTGAATAACAAAAGGTGATCTGTCATTATTAAGCCCTGATATTTAGTATATTGATTGTCTGATCACTAAAATTGAAGAGCATTATAAACAATGTTATGAAGCTTTCTACGTCGATTTGGGCCCCTGGGCCTTGGCACTGGGTCCCGGGTTTGGGCATGACATGCAATGTTTGAACAGTACAGAACATTTTGGGGGTTTTCATATTAAGCCGTACGGGGTCGCTCAATCACGGCGGATTTTACCCGCAGAAATGGAACGGCCCAGGATGCCGGCTTCTACAAGGTTCCGAATCCCCAGCCGGGCCTCTTCCACCCGGAGCTGCACGACAAGCTGATGACGGACCTCGGCAACCACCGTCGCATGACGACGAGGCCGCCAGAGGGCGCTGCCGACCGCAGGCGCTACGGCAGCGGCAAGGAGAACCTCGCCAACGGGCTTCTCTCTCCGCAGGACGCCGCCCACCTCTCACCCGCTGGCAGCCGGCGCGGGCCGGGGCCGGCTGGCGTCGCAGGAGAAAGCCGCCGGGACTCCCGCCGAAGCGCGCTCAAGACGGACCCTGCCCGATCCGGCCGAGCAGCGCGTGGGGGCGCCACCGCGCGACCGAACGGCGCACGCGTACAGGCACGCGGTGGGCGCCACCCAGGGCGCAACCGAGCGACGCGTACAGGCACGGGTGGCGCATCCGGCGCGACAGAACGGCGACCCGTACAGGCGCACGGCGGGGGCGCCACCCCCGCCACCGACGTCGATGCCGCCGCCGCAGGGCAATCGCCGCAGCGCCGGCCAGCCGGACGCCCATCGAGCAGTACCACAGCAGCGCGGGCTGCGAGTGGCGGAGGCCAGCAGGGGGCGCCGCCTGGCACGCGCGCGGCGCGCGACGTCGAGGCGTACAAGAACGGCATCAACGCGACGCGGCACCAGCGCCGCCGGCGAGCGTCCATCGCGCGCGGCGCGGGCGGCGGCATGCAGGGGGCGCCGCCAGTCGGCGAGCACGGGGCGGGGTCTGTCGGCGGCCGCGTGTCACAGCCGGCGCTGCATTACGCCGACAGTGACGTCGCGCTCGGCGTCAGCCTGCCCGGGTTCCACGCGCCGCCGGCAACGTTCGACCCTAAGATGGCCGCCAGGGCTCTGTCGCCAAGGTAACGACCGACGTCCACCTTCCCACTTAACATCGTCCGATTCCCCAGTAGACTTGGAGCTGTGGAACAGCGATATAGCTATCGTGGCACCCTTTTCCCCCCTGAGCAGAAGTGCCGCGCGCGATTCAAGCCGTATAACAATTATAATAATGATCGTTTTATAATAAGGGGTTTAGTGATCATGCGATGGTAGCACGGTTTACGCTGCATGCTGTACGCATTTAATACACGGGCAAAATTAAGCGAAGGTTCTATTAATCGCATCGAGCGTGCATTAATAATTAAACTGGTTCGCGATGGTTCTCTCGATTGCACATTAAAATGTGTTTGTCTGAGACGGGTAGTGTTATCTAATTTACCCGCTTATATAGCAGCTTGCTATATCGCTATCATAAATCAGATTCTCGGGTGAGTGCAGTCGGTGTATACAAATGCGTAGTGATGTTGACTTTACCTATTCATAGGCCCGGTGGCATAGGAGTAAAGAGGGCGGGGCAGCGTCCTGTACCACCACCACCCTCTAGCCATGGCCTGCAGAAAGTGAATGTCATTGTGCACAACAAGAACTGCCAGCAGATCTATGCCAACCACGACGTCGAGGACATAGATAAGGACAAGAATGATAGGTAACCGTATGAATTTACGCACAGCTCATTCTTAAACGGAAATTATCTGTGTTGCAGAGTTCTATAATAAGGCCAAAACAAAATATAGGTGTGGTTACGATTTCCCGACCGACCCTATTTATTCCCAGCGACCCTAAACATTTTGTCAATTTTCTTTGAAGTCAAAAAAAAAAAAAATGAATTGGACAGTTTCTGCTTCAAAAGGCACAACGCACATCCTTCGGACATGGTTCGTAAATAAAATATTTCAAGAAAATAAAATGTTTTCTCTACCGACTTACCCTATTTTTTTTCGGCATGTAACGGTAACCACACATATATTTAGGTTTGGCCTAAGTTTAATCTTCCCTTCAGCCGTCACAGGTGATATCTTAACATCAGGGCAACTGAAACTCTTCAAGTCCCATAACTTGCTAACGAATCTCTCTAAACCCCACCTCTATTTTTGTGCACGATCACAGCAAGTGCTTGCCCAGGCCTATACACTTAATTTCAAACCTCCTTCAACCTTATCACGCTTGTTTGATCCAAACGCTCCATTAAAAGACGCCTGCTAAAGGCCTGCAGTCTATGGTATACATTAAATGCCATTCAACGATAGGTCGCCTTTTACTCGGACCTTTGGCACACTTTTACGTGTTTTGTATTAAAGTTATTTCTCACTGGCAAAATATTCCTACCAAAATCTGCCTGATTGTAGCATGCAGCCACGTGTCTGTTGTAACTACCAAATATCTTATTAGAATGCATTGTCGCACGAGAAACGGGTGTAGTAAAAAGAAGAAAGCTAGTACAAAGCGAGTACAAATCATTTATGAAGTGCCTCGGTTGACATACTCCTCTAACCCTCTCAGTTCCTAAAGGAACGAACGTACAACCCGTCCCAGTTTCCGGCGGGAAGAGAGCCTTCTTTATTCGATCGTTGTGACGCTTTGCTTTTAGTAGGGCGGATAAGCACTACATGGATTGTGCACTTTTGGTTAGAATTGTGAAACTTTGCACGCGCGTACTACAATAGGTCCTGAAGACTTCCCGACAAAATGTTCCCATCTTTATGCGCTTATCCGCGCTGCACTATTCGTCAGGTACGACTTCCGAGCGTTCCTGCGCCGCACCAGCTACGACCCGGGCCGGAAGACGCTGCGCAAGACGATCGAGTACCACGGCCAGCAGGTCGACTTCCGCCGCGTGCTGCGCAAGCACTCGCACCACGTCACCAACGTCCTCGACGACCTGTGAGCGCCAACAAGGCACCACCTGGTGGCGCGGCGGATTCACGGCGCGGATAAATAACGCGGTTGCAGAGGCACTCGGCCGGTTTACACCAGGCGGAAAAGTAGTGCAGCTGGCGTGCAGCCGGCAGTGACTGATGTCCGTCCGTAGTAGTTAAAAAGTGAACCATGTCCCGCGTGCCACTCACGGCGTTAGCGGGCGTGCACGTATACGTGCGTACGTCGTCACACGGTAAATATTTGGCAGGCAATGTTGACGCTTGGCAAAGAAGATTGGCGCTGTAGTGCAGCAGTTGATACGAGTAAAGCGCGGACCTTACGAGAATGCCATTGTAGCATGTTTACGGTCTGCTGTTTTCTCTACTCAACGTAAACAGAAGGCGTACACTGATATATTATTTGTCGTTTTGCATTGGCATATAGTACAGCGACCATTCTGTCGGTGCCTGACATGTCTGTAGTATATCACAGCCTAATAACATCTATATAATAGCAGTATAATCCGCTGAGTCATGTAGTTATTATCCAATTCAAAAAGCGAATTAAGCTATTATGTAAATTTGCTGCCACTTTCTGACCGAGGATGAGTTGCATACACTTGGGAAGATCTGAGACCAATCACAGCTCCAGTGTCGCTGTAATCTTAAGGATATATAGCAGCTACTTGCTATCAGTGCCAGTCATATGTTCGGGTCACATTAAGGTTAAGTAACATGTTGCTTACACTACTGTATACGTGCGAGCAACCCTTTCATTCGGATCTATTGTGAAACCATTTAAATATTTTATTGCTGATATTTTGCGAAGTTACTAATATGTTTAGATGTCAAGAGTTTGATCTGAATAACGATGTGCAAATTCGTTCATTGCTATTACTGAGATAATCATTCTCAGCGTGTCGAGTTAATGCAGTCGTGTGATTGCCTCGCTTCCTTTTGGATAAATTGACATTATTCGTTATAAGTGGTCGTTATACAGCAGCCACGCGTTTTTTTTATTTATTACCTAGGCTCCATATCGTTTCCATACTACACAGCAAAATTAACGAAACGAGATATCGTTGTTGTTACGTTCCCCAGTTAAGTATGTATAATAGTAATCTCAGTGTTTTAAGTATAGAAAATCGATTGGTGACCATTTCAGTTGTTAGCGCTTCAAAACATTTTATCCCGCTGTTTTTCGACGAACATCATAATTATATTGTGCGACTGAGTGTGAAATGTTGAATGTAAGATAGCAGCTGTGTGCAGATAGCGTTTCATTGTCATAAAGGAAGCTGAGTGTGTCGGGGTTTGGAAAACAAACCTGCTTAAGTATATATCGCATGTATTTATTACTATTATTACTATTATTATTATTATTATTATTAATATTAATATTATTATCACTTCATTGCGTGCAAACTGTGTATGCGCGCGCGCGTACCATACTGAGCTGCTCGTGTCGTTGTTCTGCCACTCCTTCACACCCAACGTGATGTCCTTCTAATACCCTTGCCGTGCTTCTCGGCTCAATTGTTATAATTAAAGCTCGTGAGTAATCACCTCAATTACGGCATCATTATAGGTATTAAGTTTTCTCACCAAAATGCATTTCACCGACTAGCCGTACACTATCCTCACTGTTTTTAAATTTGTTGTTACATTACAACGATATATATATATATATATGCCTATATATAATAAAATAACAAGCATGTGTTGTTGCGTTATGCAGGAAACCACACCGGTTTTGCCTATTATATTTATAGGACAATATTTATGTTGCTCCAAGTATATTTACACTTTCATTCGAATCACTGTTATCACGATTATGTTATATTGTTATTGCATAATATTTATTCTCAAACCATGTGTAACCGTTTTGCACAAGTATATAATATTGAAGTATTGTTAAGCGTATGTCAGCAGAAATCCCGCTTACCCGCCTATATTTTTGCACGCTGTAAATAAGAATCTATAAGTTACGTCACCTACTGTTGCATATGGTTTGCGCAGTATATATGCATAATTATGAGCTCTAAAAAAATAAAATATCAATTCACTGGATCACTATTCTGTGTTGTTTCTTCGATCTATACAATCTGTCTGTCTGTCTGTTTGTCTGTATGTATGTATGTATGTATGTATGTGTGTGTGTGTGTGTGTGTGTGTGCGTGCGTGCGTGCGTGCGTGCGTGCGTGCGTGTATGTATGTCTGTCTGCCTGTCAATCCATCTAGATAATCTATCAGTCTATCAATCTATCTTATAGGAGGAAATATAGCATCGATTCGCTGGGTCCACTGTTCGCTGCGGTTTGATCAAGTGATTTTCATTTCAACCGTCTGGTCGGGCAGCCGACCTATAAACACAGACAATAACAGGCGTTATAACCGATAGCGCGGTCATATCGCTGGGCAAGAGGTTACTACAAGGACAGTCGATATAAACGGGACCGAATTTTAGGACACCCGGATCGTTTGACCGCGCGCGCGTCTGGTACGGGTTTAGTACGCCGGCCCCAGGTTTGTCGCAGACGACAGCGGCACCGCGTAACACGCGCGCGCCTTGCATAAGAATGCGCGCGGTAGCGTCGGCATCTACCTTTGATCCGACCGCCGCAACATCCCGCCCGCTTTCAACCCGCCGTACAATGGCGCGCGGAGCAAGAGAGCGCGCGAGAGAGAGAGAGAGCGGAGGACAGCGTCGGGAACATTGTTGCGTGAATTATTCATGAGATTACTGCCGTAGCCCCGCGCGGCACCCACCCACACACACACACACCACAATCGCACGCGGGCTCGACAATGGACCCCCTCTCGCGCCGGGCGAGCATCGAGAGAACGGGGTGGGATGAATAGGGGAGGGAGATTACGGCCCAGGATTAGTTCGGCCCTCCCACTGCCCGCCTCGTACAATCCGCAGTGTAAGCCGCTTGCGTCAGTGCGGGAGCCTTCTCTCGCCCCCAGGTGTATTGTTAGCGCGCGCTTAATTGAAAAAGAAGAGCCGTTTAGCATAACAGGAATATTGGCAAACAGGAGACTGTGCGCTGGCTTACAGCTGGTGGCTGATGGCGGGGCGCCCCGTGCGTGTGTGCGTGCTGGCGACGTAGGAGCTCGCATCTAAATATGGATTGCCTGCTTTCTAACGCACGCCTGCTTTCTAACTAGCACGCGGGCAAGAGCGACGAGATTTTCGCTAGCGTGTGCCTACTAGGGGATTTCTCCTAACTAGCGCTTCTAGAACGTAAACACCGTTTTTTTGTGTGTGACCGGCTTGTTGCATTTACAAGTCTAGCTAGCAAGCGACCCAATTCTGTTATTCACTCCTGATGATATCTATCGCACAGTGATTCACATTCATTTATTGTCATTGCATTGGGCGCATGCGCGAGCGCCGGCAGGTCAAGCTCTCTGTTCGCGAACGCGGCCAAAACCGACAAGTGTAGCGATGTTGTGAAATCTCTCTCTCTCTCTCTCTCTCTCTTGCTCGCTCGTTCTCTTTATCCCACTGTATAATAATTATTATAGAAAGATGCATCGAACATCCATTATTTGTGGTTTTACTATTACTACATGCACCGTAGATAAGAAGTCGCAGACAATCGCGTCCAAACTCGGCAGCTCCTCCCGCCTCGGCGTGGATTAACGGTGCATTTCTAGAATCGAGCACGTAAAGCGTAGAGTCGCTGCTAGGCTTTCTGCTTTTTGTCGAGGTTATTTATATAAGAAGTGGTGATTTTCCGCGCCCGCCTCGCTGTGCATGGCGATGAAGTGTTACGAGGTACAGTATATATACGTCAAGACGGGCGCGTCGCAAGATCCGTGTTCTCCTGCTAAATGCGGCAAATTAGCTCGCGGGAGCGGGCGAGAATGGGGAGATCTCGCGCTGGGGGAGAACCCATCAGCACCTGCAGCAGCAACAGCGGGGCGACATTTCGCGGCGCGTTACAACGTGCGATAGAGATTATCGCCGTCGGCGCGTTTGATGCCCGGGTGCGGCATTCTGCCCCTCCCCGGACGATCCCCTCCCATTCTGATCGGCCGCCGGTCCAGTTGCGCACCCAACTGTGCCATTGCGCGCAGCTTACACGCCACCAGGCCCCACAATGACCACTGGCGTGGCACTTAACTCTTTGGTACTCTTTCGGCAGCGTCTGATCTCCCTACGCCGTCGCTGCCCCTCCCTGGTCCATTCAGCGTAATTTAATGGGTATTTTTAGCGGGTGGGGCGCTCAATGGGTTGCCGTTGTCGCGAGTCGCGAGGTCGCCGCTGGAATTGTATCATATCGGGTAATGGCCAGTAATCACGACCGCCAGCGGCAGGCTTTGATCTCGGCTTGGGTTCTCCGCCCCTCTACGCGCTATTCAAACTGTCCTTGTTAGCCCGAATGTGTGCGGCACATTCCGTCGCGCGGGGCTTTAACCCCTTCTTCCTGCATCGGTCCTATGCACGGTGTACACGGAGTGACCATTCCCGGGCCGGCAAGCTACTTATACTGTACGCTGTATTGAAATATAACCACACAGCTAGGCCGCCAGTATACCCGAGAATCTGTGTCGGAAATGAAAAGGAAGGAACCCGCATTGAGCTTCCACACAAAACGCTCTACATGAAAAAACCCGCCGAGGTTCGTCTAATTAGGATTACTATTAGTGCAGCTATTGGGTATCAAATAAGAAAGCAATTGCGGAAAGCTACAGAAATAGAAGGACAGAGACACACGCGCAGAGACAGAGAGAGAGAGAGAGTTGCCCCTTCCGTGACGACTGTGTGGTGTGTGGTGTGTTGTGTGTGTGTGTGTGTGTGTGTTGGTGTGCGTGCCGTGCGTGCGTGCGTGTGTGTGTGTGTGTGTGTGTGCTGTGTTTGTGCTGTGTGTGTGTGTGTGTGTGTGTGGTCGTGTATCAAACAAAATAGTTTTCAACCCAACATCAAGTCCATTCATTGGCCTGTGCAACACGACGCAAAAATCCAGAGCGGGACCCGGAACAGGGGGACCATGTCTCACACTG